GAGATGTATTGAAGGAACTGAATCCTGAAGTTCTTAGTTATATGCTTAACTCCTTAGCTTACCCCCACATCTGCCTTAAGGAGGGTCTTCTCTAAGGGTGGAGGAGAAGTCAATAGATCCCATTGTGGCCCCAGGAAGAAGATCTGGACAAGACCATGCAGATGTGAGTGTGAGGTGAAGCTCATTGGTGAGGAAGTATCGGTGCTGGTAGAGGCATGCAAGGGAGGGGGCAAACTGGGCCAATCTTGTGACACAGGGTGGGGAAGAGGCAGAAGGCTGGGCCTCAGGACACTGGGAGTGGGGGTGGGGGTTAAAAATTGATTGAGGTGAAAAAAAAAAATTGATTGAGGTGCCCTTGGCTGAACCTGAGCATGGCAGAGAGCAAGTAACTAGTCTACCAGCCCTGTGCCTCAGTCTCCAAGGGACTGGAAAAGCTCACTGGGAGTTAAGGAAGTAGGCACAAAATAGCACAAACTATTCAGAAACCATGTCTTCATGCTGCTACCTCATTCATTCGCCACTCCATCTATGCACACACATGACAAGTGTTGTTTGAGCCCTCTTCATGCACAGGCCCTGAGGATATAATAGTAAATAAAAGAGATGGGGTCCCTGCTCTTATGAAGTCTTCAGTCTAATGAAGAAGGCAATTTTGAATTAATTTCAAGGTGAAGTCAAGCGGAGTGTCTGGGTGTGGGCAAGGTCAGAGTGACTGGTCTCTAAGTCAGAAGACAGCAGGAGCAGGTGCTTACAGAGAACTAATCCTGTGGGGTGAAATGGAGGAAGGTTGTTGGCATAATTCTGAAAAGGTTATGGTCCTAGGGAGAGAACTACAGCTTCTAGAAAGGTCTGGCAGGTACATCTAGTTGATGCTAGATCAGATGTGTGGGGAATGGAGAGGAAGACTGTGTTTATGGACTTAGTGGATGGGAACAGCAAGTGAGGTTGGGGTAGGCATGGGAACAGAGGCAGGAGGGATGCCTCACAATCTTTGTAGTTCCAAATGACAAAGTCATGTGGTCCCTGAGTCCAAGACCACGATTAGAGTTTCTTTGGATTGGGAATGCTTCCTCTCTATACAACTGATAGGAGGGAGTCAGCATTCTTTCTGCTCCTCTTGAGGATTAGTTCATCCTCAATATTTTCTTCACAACAATAAGTTAAAAAGGAATTGGATTTCGGAAGCAGAGACTTTGGGGGCACTGCTTCGAAAGGAAAATATGGGATAGAGACACACGATGGAATACTATTCAGCTGTAAAAAAGGAAAGATTAACTCTTGCCATTTGTGACAACATGAATGGAGCTGGAGGGGATTATGCTAAATGAAGTAAGTCAGAAGGAGAAAGACAAATACCAAATGATTTCACTCATATGTGGAATATAAAGAAACAAAACAAAGGAACTAACAAAACTAAACCAAAATAAGCCCTAAGTACATGACAGCAGAAGAGAAGGAAAAGGGGAGGGGAAACAAAAGAAAGAGGGGACCTAAAGGACTATGGGTGCTTTGATGGTGTAGTGACTTACATCTGAGGAGGTGTGAACCTGTTCCCTTAAGTCATATACAGTATTGTAAAACAATGTTACCTCCATTTAAAAAAAAAATTAATTTTTTAAAAAAGAAGGTAGGGTGAAGTTTAATGGGAGTCAGGTCTCAGGAGTAACAGGGAGTGAAACAATGCAAAAAATTTTAACAATCATCTGGGAAACCCCGTTCTTTCTATATTACCTGGCAATAGGTATTCTGTGTGCTTAGTTTCCTCACCTGTCAAATGGAGACAGTAATGTCATCTCACAGGATTGTGGTGAGAAATAAATTGGATGAGGCCTGCTGTAGCCCCAAGCGCCACCCACAAGTTCAGCAGGTACACGATAGGTGTTACTTACTGTCTTTTACCCTTGGCCTCTGTGGAATGGAGGATATTACAGGCTTCCCTGATGTTCCATGGGAACAAATGAGGAAAGAGTCCTTAATGACCTGCACAGTATTGTGCAAACAGGGGTCTATTGACTCCTGGGATGATGGTGACTCATGATAATTTTAATAAAAAGTGACCTGGGGATCAGGAGGCTTGTCAGCTGCAGGGGTAGCTGGGAGTTCCTGTAGCACCCGTCTCCCCTGTGCAACTAATATGGGTGGGAACAGCGTGACTGGCTAGCAAGGGCTGAAGATGTGGTCAGAAAGACTAGCTGTTTCACCTTATGAAACTCCTTAACCTCTCTGAGTCTTATCTGTTCATCTGTACAATAGGAATAATGCCATCCAGCTCAGCGCAGAGACACCACCGCCAAGTGAACTAGCATGTAGAACTCTCAGTATACACCACTCAGAACCACAGTGTCAGCTCCAGGTTAAGGAGTGGCCTCTCCTCACAGCGCCTCAGGCTCCTCACCTGTGAAATGTGGATATTGTAGCACCTACTCCCTAGGGTTTGATCATTAAATCATATTATGTGAGGAAAGCATACAGAACAATGCCTGACCTGGTTGATGTCAATCATTACCAAAGTGGGTGATTGTGTGTGCTGGTGCTAGCCCCACTCCAGGCCTCCTCTGATTCTTACCTATGGCACTCACCTGTGGGAAGAAGGTTCCTTTCCTACAGGAGGGTCCTGGATTCCAGAGAATTTTGACCATTCCACAGTCCCTGCAGGGAGCAGCCAGAGAGTTGTTTGGGAGGAAGGGCTGCTCTCAGAAATTTCTCAGGAGTTTCAGCTCACAGAAACTCCTCCTATAGGTGGCAGGGAGGGGTCCTGTGTTAATCAGGGCTAGCCAGAGAAACCAGATGTGTATATAGGTAGGTAGGTGTTGAGGTGTGGGGGCACAGAAGGGAATTGGCTCACACAATTTTGGAGTCTTGGGAAGACAAATTCCTCAGAGTAGGATAGTAGGTTTCCCAGAAAGAGTTGTAGTTTGGGTTCAGAGGCAGAATTCCTTGCTGTTTTGCAGAGGTCAGTGGACTTTGGGCTATTCAGACCTAAAATTGATTAGATGAGGTCCAACCACGTTATGGAGGGTTATCTGCCTTATTTAAATTCCACTGATTTAAATGTTTGTCTCATCCAAAAAATACCTTGACATAAACACTCAGAAAAATGTTTAATCAAGTGCCTGGGCACTTGAACCCAGCCAAGTTGACAGACATAGGATAAATCATCATAGTTCCTTTTTCTACATTTCTTCTTCTTAAAACATATATGATTTACTCTCAAATGATTATGAGAAAAAACATTACCTATTTTGCTAACTAAACAGAGGAGAAGAGAGGGAGAAGGTAGGAAGGGAGAAGGAAAAGCAAATTATAAGACAAATAGAACAAAATTTTAGTAAGAGTTCAATCTGGATTAATGGCACAGGTATTCCTTTACCATCCTTATCGTGGCAAATTCTTTATAAGTTTGAAATTATTTATAAATGAAAAGTTAAAAAAATAAATATTCTGCATTCAAACTAAGACTTCGGAAAAAACAGGGATATCCTTAGCTTCTCGGGACCAGAACAGATCCTAGAACCCTATAAGGCTCACCTATCCCCCTTGACATGAGCTTACAAATCAGTGACTCCAACTAGAAATGGCAACACAGGTCCAGAGAAGTGGAGTGACTTACCCCAAGTTACAAGCAGAAAAAAACCCTATATAGCCGGTGCCTCCCAATCAGTTCCATGTTGTCAGACAAGGCATTTTCTAACCTGCTCACTGCCCCATCTCTGAAAAATCTGTTGTTCCTAAAGAGAATCTTTCTAGACTTCTAGCCTTTTATTTCCAGCACAATCTTTCCCCCCAAAAAAGGTATTGCCTTCTCCTGAGGTGACTGGACTGAGGAAATTGATGACAGTAATTCACACTGAAGAGAAGTTGGTGATTTTCCCCTCAGATAGGATAAGGCTGCTTGAGGTTTGTGGTCAGATAAGGTTCTCAGTGTTTAATCTCTCCTGCAGAAGTTTCCTCAAAAGACTCACAGAATTTTAGAGCAGGAAGAAGCTTCTAGAAGAGTTTATTTTATCTAATTCCTTCACTTTGTAGATGAAGGAACAAAGGACACAGAATAGGGAAGAAGTAATGTGTCCCAGAAACCAGGGAACACAGCAAATCAGTTGCTTTTTTTTTTTTTGTACTCCTCCTTTGTCTGGACTTTGGTCCTAAGGAGGGAGTATCCTGGGGCTGTTTGAGCAAAGGAGAGGTAAAGAGGAAGTTTCCACAGGAAGCCAGCCCTATCCTCCAGGTGAGATGTGGTGGGGGCCTGGATTCAGCATTGCAGGGCACGGGGAGCGCAGGGGGTGGGCGGAAGCTGGAGAAGATGAAGGCTAAACTTTACAGTCATGAGAGAACTGCTGGGTGTTGAGCTGTTTGGCTAGTTGGGGGATGATGAAGTTCAGGGGTCCTGTCTTGGTTGCTGGGTGATGGAGATTACTAACCAGACCCAGGAATGAACAGGAGGTCGAGGTTTGAGATGGGTAGATAATGAATATGGATTTGTCATGGAGGTATTTGTAGGGTACACTTAAGAGGCTGCTTGGTAGACAATGGGATGGTGGGCCGGAAAATCAGAACTCAGTCCTGAGTGTGACAGGTGGGATTCCACCAGCATATTCTGGAAGCTAAACCCATAAAAGGGAGAATTTGCCAGGATGAGGTCTTGGCCCAGTAAAGGCAAAGCCACAGGACTCCTAGGTCAGTGCTCATTCCACAGACCATATTCCCATAGGAGGATGAGAGGATCACAGACATCTCCCCCAAGAGGGTTTCTGTCCCGTGTTTTCATGGTCATCTCCTCCCCACATATGTCCATAAATAATATGATGCTGTTTTCCCTGTCCAACAAAACAATGCCCCTGGGTTCAGGGGGTGGAGAGTCTGTTCTATCCAGTTCCTTCACTTTCTCTTCTTGATGAAGAGTTTCCTTGGAGTTAGAAGAACTTGGATGAGGAGGATAAGATTCCTCAGTCTTTCTACCTTCTAAGGTACCCCAGGGCAACAGAACTACCGCCCCAGGCAGGCCCCAGCCACACTGAAGGGTCAGAGCTCACCACTGAGGTGCAAAGTGGCTTTCTCTGGTGCGCTGAGTACAGCTTTAAGAACCCATGTCAGTAATTTGTCACCTTGAGTTCTTTCCAGCTGCTTGGTAATTTGTGTTAAATCCCAAATGAGTATGTGTACAGGTTCCTGGGAGGTTTTAAAAATAGAGGTCAAGAGAAAATGAAAGCATTTCTGGGATTTCTTAGATCAGGTGACTTAACCTTTTTTTTTTTTTTTTTTTTAATTTTTAAATAACCTCACTCCAGAGTTAGCAGAAATTCCATTCAGAAGGACTCTGGTATAGCAGCATGAGTTGAATGCTTATTCTGAATTATACATTATTTATTCAGTGCCAACAATGAACTCGGCAGGGGAGGAGCTAAACTAAGCTTCCTGGCACACACATGCAGAGCTCAGGAACAATGGAGTGACTGTAGCCTGGTCTTGGGGTGGCCCCTCCAAGGACGAGGACGTGAATGCAGGTGGTGAAGATCCCTCCCTGTGTGCCAGGCACTGTGCTGGCAGCTGCCCATGGGCAATGATATTTGCTCACCACAATCCCTAAGAAATCCAGCATTAGCTCCATGTTATAGAGGGTAGTAACTCACCTAAAGCCTTGAACCCCAAGTTCCAGTTCAAATTCCAAAGTTCTTTTTTGCACTGCATCACCAGAAGCAGATGGGTTTTGGGGCAGTTAGTCTCCAAGATGACCCTGGAGAACTACTCTCAGTCTTAACTCCTTGCGTGGTTCCCTCCGTGATGAATTGGGACTGGTTCCATGTAACAAAATGAATGTCACAGAAGTGATGCTGTGTCACTAAAGCTAGAGCACAGAAGTTTTACAGCTTCATGATCTCTTAGAATGTTCCCTGGAGCAGCTAACTGTAAGAAGGCTGACTCCTCTGAGACGACCATGCTGTGAGGAAGCCCAAGCGAGCCACAGGAAGGGGCTGCACGGAGAGCAAGATGCTCAGCCAGTCCCCAGCTACTGAGGCCATCCCAGCTGGTGGTCGCAAGATTTGGAAATAAAGAAGCCATTTTGCATGTTCCTGTCCCGTGGGGTCTTCAGGTGACTCAGCCCCTCAGGGCAAGCACATGAGGCACCCCAGACAAGAACTGCCCAACTGAGCCTGCTCCATCAGCAGAATCATGGAAAACAATGATAAATTGCTTTAAATGACTAAAATGTGGAAGCGTTTGAAACAATTAGATTTTAGGCCTATTTTATCTATAATAGTCATTATGACCATTTTTTATCACCATTTGCTAACTTCCACGTGCTGTAGTAAGCACTCTGTATTATTCCATTTGATTTTCAAAAGAACCCTCTCAGACAAATGTTCTTGTATTCATTTGTCTTCTTTAAATAAGAAAGGCTCAGGGATGGAAGCAAGTATGGAGAGAAGCACGGATTTAGACCCCAGGCACCCAGCCCTAGACTTCTGCCACACACTCTGCGCCGCACCTGCCTCGCCTCAAGAGACTGCTCCTGAAGGATGGGGCTCAGGTCTGGGAGGTTTGCCTTGGCGGGCCTTACTCTGCCTTGAGAGCTTGTTCTGGAGGTTTGCAGCAGCCTTTTGGCTTCGTGCTGAGTATTCCGGGGTCCAGCAGCGGAGCTTTGTGAATTCATTCCCATAAAGAAACAAATGGTTCTGACCTTTTCTTTTTAAAATGTTTTTCCAGGGAAGCCACTGCTGCCAGCAGGGTCTAGATTGATGGTATCGATGCTGAGAAGTAGAGCCTCCACCCTTGCAAAGTCGCTTCACTTGGCACCTTGGGTCAGACTAGTCAGAGACAGAGCAGCCTGGGAAATGTCACGTCGATTGCTATTCAGAACACAGCCTCCCGCCCCCTTTTCCCTACCTTTATTGCTTTTCTAATCTGTGGGACATTGGGGGCTGCTTTAAATTTCCTGTACTCGGAGCAAAAGAGATGGGAAAGGTGGAATCCAATCTCATAAAATTAAAGGACGGAAATGAAGACGGGTGAGAGGGCGGGGAGGATCGCATCTCTGCACGAAGGCTAGGAATGAACAGTCTCATCCTTGCCAGTGACATGTGTCCATGGGCAGCTGGAAAGCAATGCAGGGGGCGCTGGTCAGTGGCTCTGATGTGCTGGGTGTCAGGATTGAAAGGCGCGGCTCTCAAGCACTTGCACCTGGTTCTTACCTCTCTTTCTCCAACTATGCCTCTCCGTGGCCCCTGACCAGCAATACAGCCCGGTCAGAGAACATCAGAGTATGTTCTGATGCTGGCAGGCGAAATGCTTCAGGATCTCCCCTGTTCACAGGAAGAAATGTCACCTGCTGGGAAAGCCCAGCCTCCAGCCAGCTCTCTCCATTCCCCTCTCCATTCCCTTGCAGATTCCCGGCTGCCTGCCCGCCCAGCTCTCATGGCATAAGGAAAGTCTGCGCCACACCTCTTGTCATTGTATTTCCCAGACATCAGTCTTTCAAGTATCACCTTTACCATGTTTTCAATATCCACATACTGCATGTGGTATAACTTACTAGTTTTCTTTAAGTTGATTTCTTCCTTTGTACTGAAATTAGTTGATTTTAAAAGTGAAAAATATATGAAGGAAAACCAGAATCACTTGCCCTGACTAGAAGATTCCTATACAAATGAATACTTTTCTCTTAGAAAGTAACGCCAAATTTTAGCTAAGCATTGTTGTCTGCCAAGATCGAAGCTTGAGATTTGTCCTGTGTCATGGAGACTCTCTCTTTGATGTAAACAAAAGAAGCCAAAGAGAATGAAAAAGGGTCAAATCTTCTTGCTATGCAATTTCATGCTCTCCAGTGCTGTCTCTGTATCCACCTTACATCCTCTCTCCTCCCCAGCCTGCACTTCACGCTCTGATAGTCACTGCGCAGCCAAGGCTGATGCCTTGGAAGACCATTCTTCCCACTATTCCTGCCTGCACCTTTCCCTTCTTCCTCTAAACATCTGTAATATCACATGCCATTTTATAGTAAATAGGTAATATTCATTATAACACTTATGGAAACCTAATTGTTATCAAATCATTCTGGGGTTCCATATTCCATTTTTCTAGGTTGTCTCACACTCCTGGAAGATTGTAACTATAAACTCCTTTTTAGGGTGTGTGTGTGCATGTGTGTGTGTGTATGTGTGTGTGTAAAAGTAGAGATTCCTTTTGGTGAATGTGTGGGAGGGAGGATGGTGGGGATTTCATGCAGTATCTTTCATCCTGCTGAGTGCAAAGGGGGTGCTTGCTCTACCTCCTGAATTAAATGTAACTCCTGCTGGATATAACTGTGTTGTTCTTAAGTTGATTTTCTGCCATCATGTCAAGTAGTGTGCATAAAAACAATAAGATCATTCCCAAGCTCAGCATGTTTATTTCATATAATATGTAATACAACACAATTCTGGCATAACAAAATGAATTTGCCAAATCACCTTTATGTCATGTAAAGGCTGTATTGTCTAGAGCTTCAGTTATATATGTTAGAAAGAAAAAGCATTTGAGATCTATTAACTGACTAAATTTGTTCCTTATCTCTTACTTTTCTGTTCGACAGAACATGACAGCATCTACCATGAATAAACACAAGGAAAGTGTAGGGGAATAAAGATGAAGAATTAGTTGTATTTCTGATTTGAAGAAACTCATCATTTAGAAGGGAAAGGGAATGAAACCCAACAGCTATAATTCAATGAAAATGCAATAATACAGGCATGCACGAGTGCTTTGGGAACCAGGAAAGAGACTTTGATTCTGACTCGGAGAGCTGGAAAAGGTAACACAAAAGGGATGACCTTTGCATTTAGCTTTGAAAATGAGCCAGACTTGTCAGAGAAAGGGCATTCCAGGTTAAAGAATGAGCAGGAGCAAGGGCATAGAGGCTTGCATCTGGGTATTTTAGAAGTGGTCAGTGACTGTGGGTATAGAATATCCAGAGGGAAGGACAGGAGATTAAGCTGGAATGAGAGGCAGAGGCCAAACTGGGATGGGCCTTATGTATCTAGCATGGAAAGTTGTTGAAGGTCTTTAAATAGGAACCTATAACAGAGAGGGCTAGTTACTTACTTCAAAGCTTATTTTCCCTTTTCTTTTTTTTATAAAACTCTCCTGTTTAACTTCCAGAACAAAAGACTATGTTTCTCAGCTTCCTGTTTATAGCTAGCCATATGAATAAGTTTTGACAGAAGAGATCTAAGCAGACTGTTGCATGGAATTTCTAGGAAGGTTGCATAAAGGGAGAAGAGTTAGCTAAGTGGGACCTTGTTTCCTTTTTCTTTCCCTTCTCTTGTGGTTTGAAACTTGGATGTGGTGGTTGGTGTTCCAGCTGCCTTATGGACTACAGAGTTACCTTAACTATGAAAGCCAAAACTGAAGCTGACAGAGAAGAAAGAGGAGCCACCTACCCTGTGTATCTTTTCTTTTATGTGAGAAATGAAAAAACCTTAAAGTTGGTTAAATTATTATCTTTGTGTTGAATAATATTCAGCAAAATCTAGACGACCAATTATGTAGTCTTAACCAATAATCTAGTTATCTAGTCCACTAACTCCAATATCTGGGTATACTTTGGGTCTGTTTATGTCTATTTCTTTCTGTTGGTTTGCGCCCCTTCTTTAGTCTTCCCTCTGGTACTTCTGGCCTTTTTTAACTGAAAGCCAGATATTATGTAGGGTTATACTACCCAATACAGTAGCTACGTGCCATATGTAGCTATTGGAATGAAAATTACATAAAATAAAACTGTAGCTCCTCATTTGTGCTAGTACATTTCAAGTGCTCAATAGCTCCATAGAGCTGGTGGTTACTGTATTTGTCAGTGTACTTTACAAAACATTTCTATCATCGCTAAAAATAGACATTGCCAGTAGTGAGATCATTTGCGGCTCTGGTGGATATTCTGTTCCTCCAGCGAGGACGCTCATTTCCAAGCAGCAGTTAGGTTAGACACTCTTTGATTTGATACACCCTGCACTCCGACTTTGCTCTCTGTAGCCCCAATGGACTTGAGTTGAGTGGTCTACTCAGTTCCTCAAACTCCAGACTACCACTTACAAAAGGGCAAATTCTTTAATAAGGGCTTTACATCAGGCTTAACCTCTTCATACTTCCCTTCTCTCCAGGCTCTTGTCCCTTCACACCTGTGGTCTTGGTAGGGCTCCAGTGATCTCAAATAGATATTTCAAAATATATTTTTAATGTAGTTGGCCAGAAGATTGGCCTGATATAAGTTAGCTTACCTAGCTGGAAACAGCTGAAAGCTGAAGTCACACCTTTGTTTTTGGGCTTCTGGCTCAGGAGCAGTGCAGAGAAAGGCTGGTAGGATCTTCTAAGAGGCAATGGGAGATTGAACTAGGACAAATCAGAGGGAAGGAACAGGTTTGAGAATCATGGGCAGTTAAGGAAAATAGAGTGATTTAGAGTCAGATTTGACTAGAATATGAGGCAAAAGAGAGAGGAAGAAGAATTCAAGAGTGACCTTCAGATCATGGTCCCAGATGTCTTGGACAGCAGGGTGAATGACCTTTCTAAAGTGATCTGAGGGAGGGGTCCAGGGAGAGTTCTTTCTGGTGGCTTTGGAGGTGGCCACAGTAAGTGTGCTGTGTGCAAAGCCCTGTGGCATGGGGCCTGGGGGATACCACCTCTTATGTCTGGTGGTCAGTGGCAGGGCAGAAGTACCTTCCCCAGGTTAGGTGTCTAGACTGGTTTTAATGTGATTATGGCTGCTACCCTTCCACCCCCTCCTCCTCCACCTTACTCCTTGCTTCATTTCTTCTTGCTTCCCCAGCCTTTTGTTCAATTCTAATACCCTTGGAATGAACTCATTTTGTTTCTGGAGTCCATTTCTTTTGCTAGCAACCAGGAACTCTGGTGAATACTCCTAATGGCTAATGTGTACATTATAGAGAATTTTTTCCCCAGGGATTAAGTTTCTTAATATAATATAAAAGTACACTTGTCCTATTTTTCATATATTCTCAAAAATAATGGGAAAAGGCCAGAAAGGAGAGATTGAGGGTGGAGCAGAATGGCTATTTCAAGCATAGTAGTGTAATAAATATCTGTTGCCTAGTTGAAGGCATAGAAATGACTGATATTTCTAGACATGTGTATCCTAAGGGGAAAAAAAGAGAGTTTGTGAAATTTTATTTAGTCTCCTCTTCATCAATCAAGGTGAGATGTTCCCTTCCAGGAATGCCAAGTTAGTTCTGGGGACTCGGGAAGTATGACTCCCCCCTAGCTGGTCATAGTAGAGACCAGCTGGTGATGCTGGTCAAGTAGAGACCAATTCAGCATCTACCCTCCAGCTCATGGAGCAGCAGGGTCTCTGCTGAGTAAGTCTTGCTCCTTCTGAGCATAGTTGAGCTCACTTTCTGGCTGTCACTTTGCTCCTTGCAAGGTCTATAGACCTGGAGAGCAGATCAGTTATTCTCCTGGGAGCCCAGTAGCCACAGTCCAGACTTAGGGTGTTTGGGGCTCACATCCATGTCTATAGTGATGCTGTCAGTTAGAAAAACCTGGGGCACTCATCTGGGCCCAGGTTCCCCTTTCAGAACCAGGGTTGTAGCTGGACCAGCCATTGCATTTCTTATTTTGATTACAAAATGCCCTCCCCCAGCAATAACCATCAGGACATTTTGAAAAAGACAAAGTTTATTATCATAGGTCCCGGAGGGACACAGCAAGCCTGGGGCCACACAGGAGGCTGCAGGTAGAAAAAGAAGGAGTGTGCATGCCTGAGGGGCTGCTGTTATTGGGGTCTAGGATAGAGGACTACAGTTACTCTTTATTGGTGAATTTAAAACACAAGAGCAGGAATTACAGTGTTAGGAAGAAAAAGAAAGAAGTGGTCAATCAGTTGTCTAAATCAACCAAAGATCTTGATGCAAAAGAACTTAAGGTGTGGGGGAGGGGTACAGGGGAGTGTCTTGGAGGGGGTAGAAGGAGGGAAGGGTGATAAAGAACTGGTTCTTTACCTAATGTGTGCCTGGTAATGTGTTTATTGGGCATAGTTGTCTTTGAAGTGGATGCATCAGCAATCAAAGCTAAAGTCATATGCTTGCATAACAAAAAGAAAAACCACTACCGGGATCACCCTACATAAGGTGCCACTACATCCTTGTGTACCTGGAAGCTCAGCAGAGTGTGGGGAGATCTGGAAGATGCCTGATGCCAGGCTGCTACTGCAGTCAGGTCCTAGAGGACCCTGCTGGCCAAGGTTAGGCATTTGGACTTCACCCTGGGGCAATGAAGAGCCAGTAAGTTAAGTGATGTGATTTGTACTCTGGAAAGCTAACTCCAAATGAAAACAGATGGGAGGGGAAGAGAAGACAGGTTGTGAGCTCAGTGAGGCCTTGCTGGCTGGTGGTCTGTGTGAAAGACAATGAAGATTTGCACAGGGTGGTGTGGTGAGGATGCAGGGGTGGGGGCAAGCTGACAGACATTTTAGGGACAGAATGATGGAATGTATGCAAGACCTAAGGTGATCAGTAGATCACTATTTGCTCTTCGGTAAGGCAGGAAGAACCACAGGATTTGGGGGAAAGATGATGAGTTGTGTTTGGACAAGCTGGTTTGAGATATCTGCAAACATTCAAGGCTGTTGGGCAGACTGTGAGTAAGGATCAAGGACAAATTCTGGGGGAGAGTTTGGAAGTTCTTGGTCAGAGCTGGCCTCTGTCTGAACCGTCCTATCCCAGACTTCCTGGTGATGGCCTGGGTGTCAGCCTGTGGGCCACCCCGGAGCCCCTGAGCTTGGACTGCTGTTCACACTTACGCCATTTTCTGCTAAAGCCTCTCCAGATGACCACCCTGCCCTGTGGATGGCCACGTCTTTGGGACTTGGTCCCCACATCCTGCCTCTTAAAAACTGGAGTTCTGAAGGAGACAGGTCCAGCCATTTCATTTCACTACCCGAGAGAGAGACCAATAACTCAAAGTCTGATGGGGCCTCTAACCTTCTGAGAAGACGTCTTCTGACTGCAAGAGCATACTCACCACCTTTGTGAAAGCCACTGAATAGGCACATGCATAGAAGGAGAAATTGCCAGGGGAGATCCATGCATGTTGGAAGAATCTTGAGAAAAGAGGCATCAATTTTGGATGAGTGTAGCAATATGGCCAGAACTTGGCTCCCACCAACACCTAATCCACCCTTCTCTTCTAAGGCCAGCACCCAGAACCCGTGAAGCCATCTCCATGCACCTGCCATGCTTTGTTCATGAAACTTTTCTCACTGGGATATTCTATCCCCTGAATCTCCTTCCCAATGAACTAGGACACACTCCCCATCCAGTGTACTTTCACTATCACCTCCAACTTAAAGGCTTCCCCAAGCCAGGATCAGGCCTCTCTGAGCAGTCTCCAGGTTGGAATAATGTGCCTGTGGGTCTCTCTCATCTGCCACATCTTTTCATCTTTCTATGGCTGGTACCTAGTCCAGGGATTGACTCATAGGAACTTAATAACAGAACATAACCAGAAAGAGCATTGGCCTAGTCAGGAGCAGAGCTGAATCCGTCTTTATCTTCCAACCTTCTTTCTCCCCATCACCTTGGATACACCACTCTCCCCTCTTCAGTATCTCATCTGTAAAATTATAGGTGGACCCATGTAGGGTCAGGAATAGACCACTGAGCAGGTTTTCTAGGATCCCATGAAGACCGGGTAAAGGAGGAGTCAGAATCCTCAGCGGTTTTGCAGGTTTTTATTGGGATTACCAAGTACACGGCAGGCAGGGATGCTGGGGGGCTGGTAGGCTGGCAGGCCTCCCAGCCC